AGCAAACCTAGGTCTGGCTGGAGTGGCAGCATGCCAACCAACAAAAAAAAAAAAAAAAAGAAGAGAAAACCTAGATAGGGATGCTAATGTGGCTTAGTGGTACAGTGCTTCCCTGGCATGTATGAAGAAGCCCTAGGTTAAATTCCTTAGGACCACATAAACAGAAAAAGCCTGAAGTGTCACTGTATCTGAAGTGGTAGGGTGCTATCCTTGAGCAAAAGCTCAGAGACAGTGCCCAGGCCCTGAGTTCAAGCCCCAGGAGTGGCAAAAAAAAAAACCAACAGCCGGGCGCTGGTGGTTCACAGCTGTAATCCTAGCTACTCAGGAGTCTGAGATCTGAGAATTGTGGTTCAAAGCCAGCCCAGGCAGGAAAGTCTGTGAGACTCTTATCTCCAATAAAACCACTAGAAAACCAGAAGTGGTGCTGTGGTTCAATCGGTAGAGCGCTCACCTTGAGCTGAAGAGCGCACAGACAGCGTCCAAGCCCAGAGTTCAAGTCCCATGACCAACAAAAGACAAAAAAAAACAAACCACCCAAAAACCTAGATAAAGCTGGTTGTCAGTAGAACCCTCCTGCAACTCTATCCTCTTGTCATGTTGAAATTGAGTATCCGGGTAGATGTATCACCCCTCCCCCACCTCATTACAAAGGAAGAAGTTAGATGTGGTGGCTTGTGCCTGTCACACCAGCTTAAGAGTGGTAATTTGGGTGCACTGCAATACAGGCGAAGTGGCAATGCAAAAATCAAGACCCAAATCTCAAATTATTCAGGAAAAAAAGGGGGGGCTGGGAATATGGTTCAGTGATAGTCCCTGCCTACTGGCTTCAGGTCCTGAGTTCAAACCATAGTATTGGTAAATAAAAAAATACTAGTTAAGGACCCAATATATTCTACATCAATGATGTGATAGCATTAATTGGTTTAAACTGTATAAAATAGTAGCCCATGGGGCTGGGAAGATGGCTCAGTGGTAGAGCGCTTGCCTTGCATGCATGAGGCCCTGGGTTCGATTCCTCAGCACCACATAAGAAAAAAGCCGTTAGTGGCGCTGTGGCTCAAGTGATAGAGTGCTAGCCTTGAGCTGAAGAGCTGAGGGACAGTGCCCAGGCCCAGAGTTCAGGCCCCATGACCGGACCAAAAAACCAAACAAACAAACAGTTTAGCAATAAAATTGTGGCTGGGAAGGTAGCTCAGTGGTAGAGTGCTTGCCTTGCATGCATAAGGCCCTGGGTTTGATTCCTCAGCACAACATAAATAGAAAAACCCAGAAGTGGTGCTGTGGCTCAAGTGGTAGAGCCCTACTCTTGAGCTGAAGAGCTGAGGGACCTCATCCAGGCCCAAAGTTCAGGCCCCATGACTGACAAAAACAAACAAACAAACAAAAAACAAGAAAAGCAAAGCACAAAAAGCTCTTGGACAGCAAATATGTCAAGAAATGATCAATTTCCTAAGGCCAAGTACACAATAATCCCAAGAGGAGGAATGACAGAGATCATAAGATTATTATTCCAGGATAGCCAAGGCAAAAAGTTAGTGAAACCGCATCTTAATACTCTGGACATGGTGGTGTGTGCCTGTCATCCAAGACATGTGGGAAGCATTAAGTAGGAGAACTGAAGTCCAGGCAAACTTGGGCCAAAAGCCTGAGAGTATGGGCCAAGTGGTAGAGAGTATCTGCTTTAGCGATCTGATGCCCTAAGTTCAAATATCACCAAAAAGGCCAATTTCCTAATGAAGTCTAGGCATGGTGTAATATGGCTACTAAAATTTTAAGATGGCATTAACTACATAATGAGATTTCAAAAACTAAAAGAATTTTTTGTGTTTGTGATGAAGTTAGTAAGATGCTTTCTGCAACTTCATGTTATTGGAAGGCACTTTTCAAAAGGTAACACTGAAACTACTTGCCTTTCGCGGGACCTAGATCTTGAGTGACTTCTCCCTCGTGATGACTTCCTTTCTTTGCGTTTATGTCTGTCCTCACCATTTTCAGATGAGTTTAGTCGTTCTCGTCCTTTATCAGAAGAATGCTCTTTGTCGTTATGTTCCTCAGACTTGTGTTTCTTAGAGGATTTATCTTTGGATTCATGTCTTCTTGCCTGTTTTAAGAAGAAGTTGGTTCTTTCAGGAAAATAGTGCAACAAAAAGAGTTAGTATGGGTATCAGAAGACAAAAATGTTGTGATGCAACATTAGTAACCTTAGGAGCGTGTGGCAAATAAAAAAAAATAAACCCTCTAGTTTCACATAACCCAAATGTTGTAGATGTAATTACTAATGTTTTTCTTTATAAACATCAAAAATGTAATTTGCTCCCCCAAATATTTTGAAGACCACCAAGCAATATTCAAAACAGAAATACTGAAAATCCATTACACCAAAGAGGAATCCCTGATGTATATTTTATGTAAAAGAATGCAAATCATGTATATACATCAACTTCTAGATCCAGAATACCTAGTAGTACATTTAAAATTTAAGTAATAATGGAGTTACTAAGAATAAATGCATCAGAAGGGCATTTCTAATTAAACAGTGAAGTATAATTAAGTTTACTAAAAGGAATATTTTCTAGCACAGTAGTATGCCTTAGCCAAGTCTTTTGTTTTAATGTCTAAACTGAAGTAATTACTATTCCTGTAATACCTTTAGTAGCCAGAGGGTTTTATTACATTTCCTGCACTTAAGGTAGAAAATGGCAACTTCATTAATTTTCAAGAAATAAAATCACACAATCACAAAGTCATCATGTAATGCACACTCTGAAATTTTGAAACCAAGTTTTTCACATCATATGCATTCAGAGACTTGGCTAAAATCAACTCCAAGATTAAGTCTCCACTCTACCACTGCAATACCAAAACCTGTAGTACGTGCTAAGTATTATAATTTCCCTCATTAGGATTTGTTAAACTCATCTTGCACTTAAAAGCTTAAAATCCCAAACTTCTCATGATCATGAAAATTTAAATCCACAAAGAAACTTAGATCCTAATTTCATCCTCTTACTCTATATATGTAAGTTCAACTAAGATCTGTAGACACCTAACACAGTAGTTGAACTGCACCTGGAACCCATGATTTTCTGATGCCCAGGCCACTACTTCATCACCATATAACATTTAGTTCTCAAAAATAGGTCATTGTCATATTTCTTTCAACTTATGATTAACTTTTCTTAAAATAAAAAAACTAGCCAATCATTTGGAACATGCATGATGATATATCTGAAAACAATCATGGTCATTTTTATTTTGCAGAAAAAGAGAGACCTGGAGACAAAAACTAAATTTTAGTTTCATGACCAGTTCTCTATAATATGACCTTAGGAAAAAACTTCCTTTACTTTTGCCATTTTAATGGCAGCCTAGAAAAACTTTAAATGGTTAAACTTCCAGAGGTTTTAGCGCTTACTTCAAATTTCAAACATAACATTACTATTAATTTTTAAAAAGCATTAAAACCCTTAACTGATTTAAGATATATTTAAGGGAAATAGGAGTTTGAATGACTAATAGTTACCTTATCATGAAGTAGGCTTATTATTTTGCTATCTGAGTCTGCAGCGTCTTCAGTTCAGTCTCTTCGCGCATTAGCACGCTGAGTATGATTTATTATAGAAATGTTATCATGTGAGCTAAACAAATAGTCATTTTCATAAAAACTCTCCTACATTAAAATTTTAACAGAGCTTCCATTAAGGGGGTGGGGGGAGGTGAAGTCCCTGCTTATATTAGTTTTAAGAATCCCTTGCCCAGCCCCCATCAACTCTTCCCTTTGTTACTTTGCTCTTCCTTGTTGGCTTATTCCTTAAGTTCTCAGGTGGGAAAGGCTACTTAACTGCCCTGCAACAGTCAGTCTTGCCTCTTCAAGTCACTGCCACCTTCCAGCTGTCACTTACATACCTTTATGGTTAATTGAATACTAGTAGAGCAACTGAATTAGTTGTACTAAAGAAGAGAGAACTCTCATCATCTTTCCTGAAGAAAAAGTAGCTCACACCTAACTAGTGTACTGTTACTTTTTAAAGGCTAGCTCCAAAACTCCTGAGCAGCCATCAGGCATGAGACAACTCAGGACCTCATGGTAATGGAAGCTCTGTGTGACCGGCTAGAAAACCAGTAATATTCTTCATATGAAAATTTTATTGTGAATATTTTCACAATACACCAAAATTAAGTTTCTGAAGATACTTTTCACATGAATTATGTTCTGGAAAAATGATGAATCCAAATCATGCTTATTTTATATAACCCAATTAAACCTTTAAAATCTCAAGTTTTGGTACTTACCTTCGCAAGTCACACAGTCACACAAACATTTCTATCAGACAGTTTCTAAGTATTTTAAATTACCTATTCACTACAAAGTTTTAATTACCTCTTTGCTTCTGCTCCGGCTCCTATGTTTTCTTCCTTCATTATCTGTGAACACACAATATAAAACATACCATAAACAAAGATGTGGAAACCTTGTATGTTATAACAATTCCAACACTGTATAAAAACAATTTCCAGAATATTTGGCTAATTACAGACTAATTTCTATTTATCCTCTAACATCTATTCTTTATATGGAAGAGTAAGATTATTCTATATTAACAGTGTGTATGTGAAGGAATTAAACAACTTTTCAACAAACCAAAGAATAACCAAGAATATATAATACCTAAATGTAGAAACAAGGGTTAAATGGCTAAAGTTTAATCACAACTTTAAAACTTAAGAGACTAGAGTCTTGGCTCAAGTGTTAGAGGGGCTGTCTAACAAGTGTGAGACCTTGAGTTCAAACAATAGGCCCATCAAAAACTAACATAAAATTTCAGTACTAGTTTACATCTCACCTTACCTTTTCAAGAGGGGTATTTTTGTTGTTATTTGTTTCAGGGTGCTGGGAATAAAAATCAGATCCTTTTATGTGATAGGAAAGTACTCTACCACTAAAACCCAGCACAGCTGAGTTTTAAAAAATGCCAAATGGGCTGGGGATTTAGCCAAGTGGAAGAGCACTTGACTGGCAAGGGCCAGGCCCTGAGTTCAGTCTTAAGATTGGGAGGGGGAGGGGGTGGAAAGAGGGGCGGGCACATTTGTAACCCTAGCTGCTCCGGAGCCTAAGATGCAAGAACTGAAGTTCAAAACCCAACCTGAACAAGAAAAGTCCATGAGACCCTTATCTCCAATAAAGTACCAAAAAAAAACAAGTAGAGCTGTGGCTCAAGTAGTAGAGCACTAGTTTTGAAAAAAAAAAAAAAGCCATCAGAATTAGTGCCCAGGTCAAGTTCAAGCCCCAGGATCCACACATACACGTAAGCGTGTGTGTACGCGCACACACGTACATGCACACTTCAACACCATGCCTTCTGTTTGTTTCTTTTCTCTCTCTCCCTTCCCCAAAGTACAAGAATATGCAACATTTGGGAATATTAAACTTCTTGCTTCGGGAACATTTTAACATAGGCTTTGGATATATATAGCTCAATGTAGATAGTGTAGCATGTGCAAGGCCCTTGTTTCAGGCTCATCTCTGGGGAAAAAAAAACTGAAAATAGGTTCCAATGAAACAACAAAAATTCAAAATATTCTTTTTTTTTTCTTTTTTTTTTGGTCAGTCGTGGGGCTTGAACTCTGGGCCTGGGCGCTGTCCCTCAGCTCTTTAGCTCAAGGCTAGCGCTCTACCACTTGAGCCACAGTGCCACTTCCGGCTTTTTTCTTTTTGCTTATGTGGTGCTGAGGAATTGAACCCAGGGCCTTGAGCATGCAAGGCAAGTACTCTACCACTGAGTCACCTTCCCAGCCCTCAAAATATTCTTATTTATTTCAAAAGATGCTCAAGTTCAAAATAATGTATTACTATCTAGACTATACTTATGAAGTCTGGACACCCACAAGATAGTTGGAATACTATTTTGCCAATGTTGATAGATTTAATTGCAAATATCTGAAGTTAATATATCTGCATAGGACATTTTAGTTTCTCACAAGGAAAAAATTCTCCAGAAAATAATCAATACATCTTCATTACCCATTTTCAATTAGTAGGAGACACATTAATTTTACAAACCAAATTTACTTCTTACCCGACTTTCGTTTTCTTTCTCTTGACCTTGATCGTGATCTTGAATAATGATGTTTTGAGGCTCTAGGAGAAACAGATACATCTGACTGTTCTTTTTTCTTTTCATTATCTGGGGATGTCTTTTCTGGGACTAGTCCATCTCGTTCTGTATCACTAGCCTAAAAGTTAAAATAAAAATTAAAGATCTCAATTTACATTTAAAATGACACCAATTTCTTTTATCTTTTTGAGTGAGAGCCTCCCTATATAATCCAATCTGGTCTTGAACATGTGAACTTTTTACTTTCCCCATCCTCAATGCTAGGGACTATAGGTCTATACCACTAGGCCCTGCTGTTTCCAATTCCTTAAAAGGGTGAAAAATGAGGATAGTTACCCTTAAGTTCCAGCCAAAATCAATCAATCAGAACAACTAATTTCCTAGTAGGGATGTGTGTGGTAGAATAAAATAGGCATGACACAAAATGGCTAATTTGATATCAAAGAGATGTGTGTAATTAAGAGTTCAATTTCTAAATTATTACTTGTCATTTTCTGTGCCTTGTATTTACTGAATCCAGGGGCTCTTCATACACTGGGTAGGTGTGCTGCCACAGAGCTATACCTTTAGTTACTTTTAAAACAAAATGATAAAAGGCTCCAACCATTTTCAATAAACATTCAGAAGCATTACCATTACTTATATTGTAATTCATTCATTAACTTGGAAAACACTGAAAAGGCATTTATAATGAGCTGTTAAAAAAAGTTCAGAGACTCAAGACAGTAAGATATTACAACTTAGGGAATGCTTCTAAATACTATATATGAGTAAACAGAAAATTAACTTACCTGAGAACTCAATCTTAATTTCATTAACCCTCTTTAAAGAAAACAGCCCTTGGCACAGAGGTGCAGCAAAATAGCGTCTGCCTCTCCTCATTTATGCTCTGGGCTGTGGAAACATTAAGTTGTTTCTGCTTTAAAGCATCTTATAAGCACTTATTACAATATAAATTTTATTTTGTAGTTCTGAGGATCAAACATAGGGCCTCATGCATGCTAGTCAAACATTCTTACCACTGACTTACATCCCCAGGGCCCTTACAACCAAGCAGAGTTGAGGCCCTGCGTTCAAGCTTGTTACTGGCCCCTAAAAACAAATTAAAATATATAATTTCTCAGAAACCCAATTTACCTAATGGTAAATTCTTTCTTTCTTTCTTTTTTTTTTGGTCGGCCGTGGGGCTTGATCTCTGGGCCTAGGCACTGTCCCTGAGCTCTTCAGCTCAAGGCTGGCTCTCACTTCTGGTTTTCTGGTGGTTTATTGGAGATAAGAGTCTCTAGTGGTTTACTGGAGATAGGAGTCTCTCGGTCTTTCCTGCCCAGGCTGGTTTTGAACCTTGATCCTCAGATCTCAGCCTCCTGAGTAGCTAGGATTACTGGTGTGAGCCACCAGTGCCAGCATAAATTTCTTCATACTGTAAATATCAGTAGTATTCTAAGTTACAGAAGGCAATTATCTGCTGTTCTCCTAACACAGCAATCAACAGAGAAATGACTTTCAGTCATCAGGTTCCCATTAAAATATTTCTGACTAGAGATATAGGTCAGTGGTGAAGCACTTGCCCAGTATGCATGGTGCTGGGTTCAATCTCCATTACTGGGGGGGGGGAAGTGTGTGGCTCCACTGAATTGTGTGGTCCAAAGTTCAAGAGAAAGAAACGGGGGTGGGGGGGGAACCTGGCTGCATGGCTCAAGGCCAAGTTCAAACCCTGGTACTATGCCCCCCAAAAGTGAAAAATAAAAGCAGGGAGTAATGGGAAAAGGCTTCAAGGCAAACCAGAATTTGAAAATTCTCTGGAGTCCAATTTTGATTAAAGGGAATAAAACAAACACAGTACACATAGGGAGCTGACAGCTTGGCAGGGGCTGGCAGACTGATCTGTACCGTTTTTGAGCAAGAATGACTTTTTACATTCTTAAAGGAGTTAAAAAGCAAGCAACATGAGATAGCATGTCACCCACAAAAATCAGTGTTTACCATGTGCTCTTTACAGAAAAAGTTTACCAACTTCTCACTTAGAACACAACAAGAAATCTGGATTGAACAGTGAATCCTTACGCACTCTTGGGCAGAAAGAAATCACATGACGACCAGCATCTTCCCTTAGGAAGATTTAGTCCAGAAAATAAACATCAAGCAAAATAAAGGAGATGGATGTAATGACAAATACTTATAATCCTAATCTTTGGGAGGCTGAGGCAAGAGCTCCGGAGTCTGAATTGGCCTAGGCCACCTGGTGAGACCCTACCTCAAACACCCAACAAGTAGGGAGGAGTCTCACACTTGTCTTTACAGATGAGATGTAAGGATTGCTTTCGCTTTAAGTCAGTACAAGCAGAAAAGCTGGCAAGACTCCAAATACAATTAACTCGAAAAAAATGAGGGACTGGAGGTGTGGCCCAAGTGCCAGCAGTTAGTAAGAAAGGCCAGAGTGAGACACCCTGTTCATGGCCAAGAACTGGTTAAAACAAACAAACAAAACACCATACTATGTCAGAAACCTATGCTAGACTCCAGCAATAAAACGATACAGTAAAAAGGAAAGATTTATACTTTGAGGAAACAACACAGGCGAGGTTCTCATTTCAGTACCCAAGTACTTCTTTCTCCTGTATAAGGACTTTGTAGAATCATACAGATGAAATCAGCAACAGCTAAAACAATACTTCTTCGTCTCCTTGTGGTATGTCTACACTTAGTAATATATGGTACCATTTGATAATGATTCACAATATGAACATTTGTTTTCAGCATTACTCTTCCATGCTTAATGACTATTTCAGATTAGTCTATTACATGCCTAGTGCTATCTTACATCTAGAAAATAAAAGTACTAGGTACCAGTGCCTGTAATCTGAGCAGGAGACTGAGATCTGAGGATCACAGTGCAAAGCCAGCCCAGGCAGTAAAGTCAAGAAACTTTTATCTCCAATGAACCACCAAAAAGCAAAAGTGGAGCTGTGGCTCAAGTACTAGAGCACAAGCATTGAAAAAAAAAAAAGTTCAGGGACAGCACACAAACTGAATTCACGCCCCAAACCAACACAAAACTTTATAAAGTACTTGAGCTAGACGCCAGTAGTTCACACTTGTAACCCTAGCTCTCAGGAGGGTGAGATGTGAGATTGCGGTTTGAAGCCAATTGGAGAAAGAAAGTCCATGAAATTCTTATCTCCACTAAAACTACCAAAAAAGCCAGAAATGTAGCTGTACTTCAAATGTTCAAGCACTAGCCTTGAGCACAAAAACTCAGACCGTGCCCAAGCCCAGAATTCAAGCCTTATCACTGGCACCACAAAAAAAGTACTTGAAATCCGAACCACAGATACATGTCATTGATTTTCTTCTTACTCTGTAGCTGGCCTACATCTTGCAATCTATCCTCTTCAGTCTCCAAAGTGCTGAGATCATAGGCATGCCCAGTCTCACTTACTATTCAGAGCACCAAAAGTAGACCTGAAAACAACTTTTTTCTAGGTAAGATAACACTGGGCCCAGGCACTAAGTTTTCAGTCAATGGCTTATTTGGCTCCCTATGTAGCAGCATGAAAGCTGGCAAGAGAAAAATCACTAGCTGGCACAGGGTATTAACCAGATATTTTTATCTGAAAAATACTAAAGAACAAAAACCATCCTACCACTAAATAGAAATGAAGTGTTAAACTTATTTCCACGAAGACATTTTGTAGTATGTATAATGGAGATACCTAGAAAAAAATTAAATCAAACAGCACCACTACTCTGAAAATGTAAGCTTTATTTTAACTTAATAGATATCTAGATTTAACAGTACTAACTATAAAACAGCTTTCTACTTATTATTGTGTAAATCCATAAGTCACCTTTGTCCCCTCCACTTTATCTTGAAAACCCTGGTAGGGCTTGTAACATTATTCTAATCATTATTCCAGTGCAAAGAAGTATTCTAGGCCACTTTTCCAAGGGTTTGTCTTTTTATTGGAAGAGGCACTGCAGAAACAAATGTTTTTCACTTTCTAAACTACTGAAGCCTAGGAAAAAAATAACACTACTTTTTACTTAAATGTATACTGAGGTCCAAAACACCAAGCAAAGAAAAAAGTCAATCAGATCTACAAGTAACAAGCAACCCGCCAGCCATCCCTGTGAAATCCTGTCAAGAAAATTCAATTAGGTGTGGGGAATGGAAGGTAAAGAGACCATTCAGCCTTTTCTACTTTCCGATGATTAGTAACAGTTAACCTGTCATCTGACAGCCTTATTTGTTTCTGGCCAGTAAAAAAAGGAGTCAAGTACACAATAACGTGATTCATCAGAAACGGGTATCTTAAGCGGGAATGGTAGCTCCTATCCAGGTGGACGAAAGGGTTCTGAAGTTCAAAGACACAAGGCTGGAGACAGGACTCGAAAGTGATTCTCAAAGGCTTCCCAGGTCGCCTAGGCAGCCGTGGAGCTGGGACCCGGGCAGCGCCCAGACAGGCTGCACCCGGCGTGCGCTCCGCGGCGAGCTCAGGGCCCCCAGCCGAGGACCGAGCCCGGCGGGGTGGCCGGACACGGCATCTCACTCGGTGCACGCCTGCAAGCCCAGGCTTCTGGGCTCCACACGCCTTTTTAAAACAACTTTTTCTAGACGCTTCTCCCCGCTGCACACAGAAGCTTCTTAAGCCCTGAGAAAACTCCCAATCAATCACTGGCCACAATCAGCTACGCTGGAGCCTCCCCAGGGCCCAAAGGAGCAGGGGGGCTGGCAAGGAGATGGGAAAAGTTCCGGGAGGGGGGGAAGGAAATCCCTGCGGCTCCCCACCCCTATCCACACGGCCCGACTTCCCCCTCCCTACGCCAGGGAGCCATGATGGCGGGTGCAGACGAAGGCCGCGGCGCCATTTTGTCCACACGGGCGGACAACAGCTTTGGGAACCGTTTCCCCACTCTTTTAGAAAATAGCAGGAAAAAGGTCCCCGGTTTTGAACCCCCGAGTCTGGTACTTACCGCCATGGTTGAGAGTCCCAGCCGCTAAGGCGCGGCCTCCACTAGCCGCGTTCAACAGTACCGGCCACCACCAAGCTTCGCCACGGACTAAATAGCTCGCGCGAAAGACCCGGATGGCACAAAAGAGACGAGGCCCGTCCGGTCGCGCAGCTTGCTGGGAGGAAAAAAAGGGGGGGGGAGGTGGTGATAAGTGTTTCTATAGCAACGCGATACGAGGTGGTGATTGGTTGGTCTTCCGAAGAGTGCCCAAGAAGGGCGTGTCCAAGAATACTCCGGAGAATACTCGCTGGGCGCGTATGGAAATGAACGCGATCTAGGGTGGGGCCGCTTCCTAGTTCGCGTGTTTACTAATTTTGGCCTCTTCCAGTCGCCGTAGCAGGGGGTTGGCCCGGGCGTGTTCCCGCCAATTCAAACCCACGGCGTGGAACCTAGTTTGGGGGGCGGTTGTGAGTTAGGAGGAGAAGCCTGGGGGCCGGCGCGTTCCTTTGTAAGTTTCTTCAGTCCCAGGTGAGGGGGGCAGGTGCGCAGTCGCCGAGAGCTCGGGGTTGCTAGTGGGGAGTGGAAATCATCCAGCTCCAGCCCCTTTGAGGTGTTTCGCCGGGAGGAGGATGGAATGGGGTCTGTCAGTCCGTCCGAGGGCATTGGTAGATGGAAGCGTCCCTGGCAAGGTCTCGGCTGTAATGTTAGATTCGCCAATGCGTTCTTCCGCTCGTTGTGGGTGCTGTCAAAATGTCGGAGACCCTCTCGCAGGTTAGCTTAGTACCCTGCCCGCCCTCGCCGTGCCCTGAGGAGGGGATCCAGTCTCCAGCCCGGCCTCTCCCCCTCCGTCTTCTAGAAGGCCGCCGACTCATCCCAGCTCCTAGGCCCTGTTCCCCAGACAGCTTCACTGTCCCCCTTCAGCTTGGCATAGTTGGCTTCTTGTCATTCAGGCCTCCGCTCAGAGGGTACCCCCTTCCCTCCCCAAACAGGCCCATAAACCGACTCTCCCAGTTCATCTGAGCTCTCTTCCTTCAAAACAGTAAGCACTGTTAGGAAGTATTGGTGCATTTTAAGTCTATTGTATTTATCTATTTTTTTTTTTTTGCCAGTCGTGGGGCTTGAACTCTGGGCCTGGGCGCTGTCCCTCAGCTCTTCAGCTCAAGGCGAGCGCTCTACCACTTGAGCTACAGCGCCACTTCCGGTTTTCTGGTGGTTTATTGGAGATAGGAGTCTCAAGGTCTCTCCTGCCCGGGCTGGCTTTGATCTCAGCCTCCTGAATAGCTAGGATTACAGGCGTGAGCTACCAGCGCCGGCTTTATCTATTTATTTTGTATATGCCACCACTGGTATTGAACTCAGGGCCTGACCTTTTTTGCTCAAGGCTGGTACTCCACCACTTGAGCAACAGCTCCACTTCTGGTTGAGTGTGTGTGTGTGTAATTGGTGATAAGACTCTCACAGACTTTCCATCCTCTTTATATATGTGCATCTTTTTATTATTATTATTATTATTATTATTTGGTTGGTCTTGGGGCTTGAACTCTGGACCTGAGTGCTGTCCCTCAGCTCTTCAGCTCAAGGCACTTCCGGTTTTCTAGTGGTTTATTGGAGATAAGAGTCTGACGAACTTTCCTGCCCAGGCTGACTTTGAACCAGGATCCTCAGATCTCAGCCTCCTGAGTAGCTAGGATTACAGGCGTGAGCCACTGGCGCTCGGCTGTGTACACCTTTTATATTGTTGGGAGGCACTCTAACAATTAAAAGTGGACGTAGACTTAAGTCCACTTATTTGCTCTTTATGTGCTTTAGGTGACTGGTCAATTATTTAACTGTCCTGTGTTCCTAAACTTTAAAATGTATTGGGCAGATTAAAGGAATAAAACATTAAAATTTCTAGACACAAGAACATGTGAAATATGGTAACTTTTTGATGTGCTTTCCACAAGATTATAAACTTCATAGGGCAAGGGCTGGGAAGTTGGCTCAGTGGTAGAGTGCTTGCCTCACATGCATTAGGCCCTGGGTTCAATTCCTCAGCACCAGGGCTGGGAAGGTGGCTCAGTGGTAGAGTGCTTGCCTCACATGCATGAGGCCCTGGGTTCGATTCCTCAGCACCACATAAGCAGAAAATGCTGGAAGTGGTACCATGGCTCAAGTGGTAGAGTATACTAGCCTTGAGCTGAAGAGCTGAGGGACAGTACCCAGGTCCAGAGTTCAGGCACCATGACTAGCAAAAACAACAACAACAACAATTCCTCAGCACCATATGAGGATTGTGGTTCAAAGCCAGCCCAGACAGGAAAGTCCGTGAAACTCTCCCCCCAACCCCCCTTCCCCGGTCGTGGGGCTTGAACTCTGGGCCTGAGTGCTGTCCCTCAGCTCTTCAGCTCAAGGCTAACGCTCTACCACTTGCTATAGCCCCACGTCTGGTTTTCTGGTGGTTTTATTAGAGATCAGAGTTTCACAGACTTTCCTGCCCAGGCTGGCTTTGAACCTTGATCCTCAGATCTCAGCCTTCTGAGTAACTAGGATTACAGGCATGAGTCACTGGCGCCTGGCCGTGAAATTATTATTTTTTTGTTTTGTTTTTTTTTTTTCAATTATGGGCCTGGGGCTGGGAAGGTGGCTCAGTGGTAAGAATGCTCGCCTTGCATGCATGAGGCCCTGGGTTCGATTCCTCAGCACCACATAAGCAGAAAAAGCCGGAAGTGGCACTATGTCTCAAGTGGTAGAGCGCTAACCTTGAGCTGAAGAGCTCAGAGATGGTGCCCAGACCCAGAGTTCAGGCCCCACGACCCACAACCGACCAAAATAAATAAATAAATAAAACAAATTCAATTATGGGCCTGGACACTGTTCCTTAGCTCTTAGCTCAAGGTTAGTGCTCTACCATTTGAGCCACAGAGCCACTTCTGGCTTTTTTTGCTTATGTGGTGCTGAGGAATCGAACCAGGGCCTCATGCTTGCAAGCCAAGGACTCTACCACTGAGCCACCTTCCCAGCCCCCCAGTCATGAAATTCTTATCTCCAGTAAACCACCAGAAAACTGGAAGTGGTGATGTAGCTCAAGTGGTAGAGTGCTAGCCTTGAGCTGAAGAGCTCAGGGACAGTGCCCAGGTCCAGAGTTCAAGCCTCACGACCGACAAAAATAAATACTGTGAAATGTTTAATGGACTTTAAAACATCTACTTTGAGCTATCCCAAGAAGTATGACTTCAGAAACAAGGTTCTTTATTGCTACACTAATTAACGATTTGTTTTGATTAAAAACTTGGTATAATTTCAAGCAGTTTGAGCACAAGAAATATTAGAAGCTCTGAGATACAGAGTAAATTCAGACTTGTTGGTTTGTGTTTATAAACCAATGTGTTTTCTGGTGAAATTCATGATCTATTTTCATTTATTTTATTGGTCCAAAGTATCTAGTGAGCATAGAAATAATATACAGACTCTTCCAAAGTATTGATATGTTTTGTTTTTGTGTTTTGAGCAAGGCTTTTCATTTCCTAAGGAACTAGATTCTGTTTTGTACAAGAGAATGTGGACTGTATTTTCACATGTTATTATAGGGAAGACAGAACTTCCTGACTCAGAAAGACAATCTTGGAAACATGTGGAATGATATTGAGCTACTAACAAGTGATGACACCGGAAGTGGCTATCTGAGTGTTGGTTCAAGAAAAGACACTGCTTTGTACCAAGTAGATTTGCTTGTGAAAATCTCCTCTGAAAAGGTAGTGTTTTTCACAGTGACTGGTTCACTCATGGATGTTACAATATGATATATGAAATTGTGCCTATTAGGCCTAGAAGCAAGATAAATGTTTTAAGAATGAATATATTTCATTCACTTATTCATTAATTCAATATATTTATTCATTTATAAGGGAACATTTATTCATTGTGATTCCCGCAGATTGGTTTCCTTGAGTACTAGAGACTGAGCATTATAGGCAAGTGCTCCGTGACTCCATGATGGCTCCTAGCTGTTTTGTTATTTTGTTTGGATTTTTGCTCTAGGACAGTGCTCTACCACTTGAGCCAAGCACCGCTTCTAGCTTTTTTCATGCTTAATTGGAGATAAGAGTCTCCTGGTCTTTCCTGCCCTAGCTGGCTTAAAACTGGGATTCTCAGATCTTAGCCTCCTGATTAGCTAAGTGCTTGCACCTAGCCTGGATGATTTTTTTTTTCTTTTTTTTTGTCTGAGACCAGGACTTTGGTTTTCCTCATTGGCTAGCACTCTACTACCTGAAACCAGACCTACTTCCCATTTTGGTCAGGGCCTGTGTGCTGTCTCCGAGCTTTTTCACTCAGGGCTAGCTCTCTATCACTTTGAGCCATAGTACCATTTCCCGTCTCCTGGTAGTTAATTGGAGATAAGAGTCTGACAGACTTTCCTTCCTGAGCTAGCTTTGAACCTCTATCCTCAGATCTCAGCTTCCTGAGTAGCTAGTATTACAAGGTGTGAGCTACTGGTCACTGGCTCACAGATGATTTTTTTTGGTCAGTTGGGGGCTTGAACTCTGGGCGCTGTCCCTCAGCTGTTCAGCTCAAGGGTAGCCCTCTACCACTTGAGCCACAGTGCCACTTCTGCTTTTTCTGTTTATGTGGTGTTGAGTCAAACCCAGGGCCTCATGCATGCGAGGCAAGCACTCTACCACTGAGCCATCTTTCCAGCCCCTATCAGATGAATTTTTAAGATATACCATACAAAGAAAACCTTGATGTTTAACTAACTAGATAGACTAAAAAAAAAATGTATTGTCTGGTGACATTTGGAAGTTGGATGTTTGAGTATATGAGAATACTATTGATAAATGCTATTAAACTTGTGTAAATATATTAATTTTGATTATGGTTTGCTGTCGTGTAGGCCTCATTAAATCCAAAGATAAAAGCATGCAGCTTAAATGATGGGTTTATAATTGTAGCTGACCAATCAGTGATACTACTGGACAGTATTTGTAAATCACTTCAATTACATCTTATATTTGGTAAGTCTAATATAATGCAACACATTGAAAGTTAAATATATCTTGCTTACAATTTCTGGCTGGTTTTAACCCAAATTGTTTCTAAGAATTAGAAGTAAATGAATTTCAAGAAAATGTTGAGTAGTTTTCTCTTGTTGGGCACTAGACTCAAAAGATACTGAGATAGTTTTTCCCTCAGTATTTTTCAGGGGCACATACATTTAAAACAATAACTAACTTTACTTGTATGGTTTGTGTGTTAGCATACATCGGGGCCCATTTGTGTTCAAGTACTTGAATCTTAGACATATTTTCAATATTATGGGCAGGTATTTAAATGCTTTTTTAGGATAATACTATTATAAAAAACTTGTCAGAAACTTAAACATTAATTCTTAGAATTAAAGGCCTTTAGGTACATGTGAACATGAACCTAAGAATACTGTAGGTGATAGTATACACTCAGTTCTAGTACTTGGTAGGGTTTTTTTTTTTATCTTTTTTGGTGATGTTGGGGTTTTGAACTCACTGTCTTGTGCTTGGTAGGCAGGTACTCTTCCACTTGAGCCATTCCTGCTGCTCAAATTCCCATATTTAGGAGATTAAGGCAGGAGAATTTCAAGTCTGAGGCTAACCTGGGCTACATAGTATGACCTTGTCTCAAAAGGATCTAAAGTGAGCTGGATGCCTGTGGCTCATGCCTATAATCCTAGCTACTCAGGAGGCTAAGATCTGAGGATCATGGTTCAAAACCAGCCCCAGCAAGAAAGCCCTTGATACTCTTTATCTCCAATGAACTACTAAAAAAGCCAGAAGTGTAGTTGTAGCTAAAGTGAGATTGCTGGTTTGACCAAAAGAAGCTCAGGGGACAGCACCCAGGCCCTGAGTTCAAGCCCCAGGTCCAGCACACACATATACCCAGATCTAAACTGGACACTAGTGGCTCATGACTGTAATCCTAGCTACGCAGGAAGTTGAGATCCAGAGTTTTGAAGTTCAACTAGCCCTGCAGAACAGTCCTTGAGACTCTATCTTCAAAATAAACAGCCAAAAGCAGGGCTGGAGGCGTGATGCCCTGAAGTCAAACCTCAGTACTGTCAAGAAAAAAACAAAACAGACTAACCTAAGTGACAAGTCTGTAGTTGTGTGAAAGTTATTTCTGTCCAGAGTAAAAATTATTTGAGAAAGATTTCTATTGGGAGTATTTACATGAGAACTTAGACAACTAAAAATCAAGTAAAAAAGCAAGAAACTCCTATATGTGAAGTCTCCCCTGATCAGTCCACAGATTTATTGTTTTGCCAGTGATTTAGAGTAATTTCTATTCATAATGCAACCACACACTATGTATCTCTTATTCTATCCTGTCAGTTACCTGAGCTTGCTGTTGATAAATACAGTCAAGCTTTTTTTTTTTTGGTCGTGGGGCCTGAACTTTGGGCCTGGGCGCTGTCCCTCAGCTTTTCAGCTCAAGGCTAGCGCTCTACCACTTGAGCCACAACACCACTTCTGGCTTTTCCTACTTATGTGGTGCTGAGGAATTGATCCCAGGACTTCAGGCATGCAAGGCAAGCGCTCTACGGAGCCACCTTCCCAGCCCCACAGTCAAGCTCTTACCAGCTGATGCTCATTTAAGCTGTGCCCATTGACTGGAATTTAGCTAATTTTGTTACCTCCTTTAAGTCTTTTTTAATGTTCTAACACTGTAAAATGTATGATTTTTCCAATCTCTATTCTTTTTTCTCTCTTTCCCTCTCTCCTTCCCTCTCTCCTTCCCTTTCTCCTTCCCTCCTTCCTTCCTTCCTTTGTTTCTTGTTTTCTCTTTTTCTCTCTCTCCCTTTCTTTCTTTGTACCCATACTGGGGCTTGATCTAAGGGCATAGGTGCTGTCCATTAGCTTTATCTCTCAAGGCTAGGGCCCTACCACTTGAACCACAGCTCTACTTTCAGCTTTTAATTGAGAGATAAAGTCTAACAGGTTTCCTGCCCAGGCTGGCTTAGAACCACAATCCTTAGATCTCAGCCTCCTGAGTAGCTAGGATTACAAGCGTGATTCACTAGTACTAGCCCCAAACTTCTTTTTCTAGAACACTTACTATCTTTTTCCAGGACTAATAATTTGCTTATTATGTTAATTACTTAGGATTTGATATCTGTGATGGCAGGAATATTGTTAACTTCAGACATCAGCAATAGGCCTTAGAACAATGTTTACTTAATATATGGTAAATGCTTCAAAATATTTATGGACCAAGTAAAAGTAGTATTCTTTTTCTTGATGACTTTTCTTCTGAAATATTTAGAACTAAGCCTGATCTGTGGCTTTCTTATAACAAAATTTGCATTTTTTAAAAATTGAAAATTTTTTCAAGGAAGCTTAATTTTTATTTGAAATTTTCAGATACTGTAGTGGACGTAGTTGGCCTGTGTCAAGAAGGAAAGTTTCTCTGGGTGGGGGAGAGAAGTGGCAACGTACATCTTATTCATGTGACATCAAAGCAAATATTATTCACTAATGTAAGTCTGCATGTTTTTTGTTTTTCTAAATAATTTCTTAGACAACTCAAACTCAAGCCATTACTTGTTTAAAGTGAAGAGAATCACTTTATATTAACTTTAAGAAATAGAGCTGGGATGTAGCTAAGTGGCAAAGCGCTTGCCTAGCAAGTACAACGTCCTGGGTTCAATCCCCAGTACCAAAAAAGAAAAGACAAAAAAAAATACAGTTAAAAAAAAGAAAAAGAAATATACCTCAGAAACATTAGAAGTGCAAAATTGAAAAATTAGGCTTTGAAGCTTTTTAGTATACATGTCCATCCTCAAATTAAAGTGTTTAGAATAATTATAAACAGAATTATTGGTGATGATATTCAGTAATACTAGGGTTTTAAAATAGTAGCCCATGGGGCTGGGAAGATGGCTCAGTGGTAGAGCGCTTGCTTTGCATGCATGAGGCCCTGGGTTCGATTCCTCAGCACCACATAAGCAAAAAGAAAAAA